ATTTACAATTTTCTATAATTCCACAGAAACATAAATGTATTTAGAAGATTCACACAGAGCACTATAATAAATACTCCTTTTTCAGCCTTACCTTACACAGGTGTAAAATAAATCTATTTTTCATTGCAGTTCAAATTATGACTCTACAAAATAGGTTATCTTCAGACATGTCTGATGCTAAGCAAGCACATTCCGTCTTTAAAGTTAAACAGTCCCAATTTGCATATCTGAAGGAAAAGTATTTTACTTTCAGAGTTTTCCAGGTATTTTCCTGCAGAAAGCCAAACTCTTGAACAGAGTGCTGTCCTTGTTGCTTGACACCCACTAGCGTGAAGCGTTTCAGTGAACAAGTGTGAGGCTAATGAAGATTCTTCTGATTCAGAATATAGATACAAAAGATCTGTTGACCTCCCACTATTTAGGAGTTTTAGTGACTTATGACCAAAATAAGGCACTGTGAGGAAAAAGGAAAAAAAAAAGAAAAATTGGTAGTGGCATATGTATATAAGATATAGCTGAAGAAAGAAAGGGGATTTTCTTCTTTGAAGTATTCAGGTGCCTACTAGTGCCATATTATCATATATCCACCAAAAAAAAAAAAAGGCGGAGGGACAGGATGGGACATTTTTCTAGGAACAGTATACGTTATAAGTGTATTCTGTTAAATGAGGGGAATTTTTGCAAAGCTGCCTGTAGACCAACTCTGATCCCCTCCCACTGCCTACAGTCTATGCCTATTCCCAGTAACGCTGTCCTGCCTTTTGTTTTTTTACGCAAGTCAACACTGACTATCTTTGAATTCATTTTGGAGTACTGATACTCTTTAGGGATGGGGGGTTGGTTATTGAAGATAAAAATTTGGCACTGTGACACACTTTAATCCAACTAACAACTTAGCGTCACTGACATTCACAGAAAACCCAGTTTCTGAATAGAGGGAACACCAATACGCAAATGCCTGAATAATGCCTTAGGCAGAGGCTTTGAAAATATGTATTATGCATGTGTTTCATCGGCAGGCTGTGAAATACTAAGTTGCCTTGATACCATATAATTCATTAGTCTGAAAGAAAAAAGTATGTTACCACTGTTTACCTAGTTCCTTTGTTAATATAAGTTACAGAGATTCCAAGAGCTTGGCCTTGAAATGGAGGTGATTAAGATCTCTAGTGTCATACCCTTACGAAAATTGTTCTTTCTCACATCCAGTAACTTATAAGATCAACGGGTACACTTGTATCAAAGAAATAAAGTGGATCATTAAATTAAGAAAATTCTCCATGTTTAGTATGTTAAAAATTTATTACTTTAATTACTGCTGTGAATTTCCTTTCTCTAGGATTTGTGCTCTGACAGCAATTTAAGCTCAGAATCTTCCTAAAACAGAAAGACTATTGAGAATTTTTGCATTAGCTCCTGTGCATCCAGATTTTCAGCCTGTACAAACAAGTGGCTGAGACAGCCTTCAGTGTTCTTTTATCAACCAACATCGGCTGATTGAGATACTTCCTGTTTCTAAATAAGTACAAATTTGCTTTGAAGTTGAAAGTTGAACTGACAGTTTGAAAATCTTTCTATACACAAATTAGGAAGTGTCTATATACTTTCATTTTTCTATTCTTATCTCCAACTTCTTACCTAAAGTTTCCCTTTAACAATTAATCATCATCATCATCATCACTTTTTTAAATGAGTTTAAAAGGACATTCAAGTGAATCAATCTCGCCCTAGAAGCATGCAATAGCTGCAATTAAAGGAATACTAGATCAGTGTTTGTGAAACTACTGACAAAGAATCCTAGGCCAAGATACTTCCAAGTTAAGAATTACAAAAAAATAAGATTCGCACTAGGCTGTAGCTTGCTGTGGATCTGAGTATTCTAAATTGACCACACGAGACCTACTCTGTACGAAGGCACTCTAGGGAGCATTCTTTATAGACTAAGATATACTGGCTATGCAAAACGCTATCTAGCTTCCCTACATCTTCTCTTTGATTTCTACTGCACACACATCACTTTTCAGAAAGGGCAAGCTTGAAAAGGAAAGTTGGCAGAAAAGCTTCTGCAGGACTGTCCGTAAAAACAGTAATTCACAATTCATACTTATTCAAAACGAAAACAATCATCCACCAGAAAATGCAATATCAACATTAAAAATATAAATAGATGCATTTTGGATTAACAGAATATGGAAATAACTGTATTTTTTTATCTGTAGTTACACAACTAGTAACCAAAATACTGCGCCCAACAGAAGACTGTTTAAGTCACTGAAGGACAATATCCACATAAAGAAAAATGCAGTCCTAAATTGCAGAAGTTGCTTAACATTCAAGTAAACAAACTAACTCTTGAACAATAAAAGTGGGTTACAGGACCCCAGAGTATAACCTGTAAGTTAAACAGAACCGAAGTTCAGCACTCAGCTCTGAGTGAGCCACATGTACAAATAACAAAGTACATGGTTGTGTAGATCTGTGAACAATTAAAAGAATGTGCGTTTGGCTGTAGTATTGGTATTAAGTCTAGCAGAAAGCAATGTTTCCAGACAAACGTTTCACCAAAATCATTCATTCACAAAACTGTCTGCTTTTGCAATGTTGCAGTTATCATAAACACTTAAATATTTTATTTCTACATAGCAGCAAAGAGAAATGTAGATCTTTTTGCTCTTTCTAATTAACATTCTAAACTTTCAGATCTGTTAAGTGTCTGATATTATTTGATCTAACCGCTGCTGAGCTTGGTATGCTTGATGGAATTTGGTTGAGGAGAAAACCAACTACACAAGGCAAGGTTCACTTTACATTATACAGATGTCTGCAGTCAGCAGCACTCACCGAAAAGCTCATGGAACCTGGTTTCTAAAGGTATTTAAAATTAACTGTGTACATCTCATATTTAGATAATATAGCCTAGGGTTTCTTGTAAGTCTTAACACTGTAAACAATACAGTAGGCATGACAAATTCCAGAATCATCCAGAGTTCTGGTATCATTTTAATAGGGAAGTTTGAATAACTATGTAAGAATAAAAATTCTCTTTGTGCAGGCAGTTGAATTAGTCATAATAAAAGGCTTTCCTGTGCCAATTCTCTATTATTTGCAAAAAAACATTTGTACAGCAAGCCCCACATGCTCATAAAAAGCCATTTAATCAATAAGAAAACACACTCTGATGTTATCTGTGGTATACACAGGCCCATATTAAATTCCCTAGAATTGTGTATTCCTTTCTTTTATAGGAAAGGCAAAGAAAGGCGAGGGGAAGGGAACAGGGCTTTTGAACAATAAAACCAAGAAGGACGGAATCTGTTAAAAATGAAGTTAAATACGAGGTCCTAGATACCACGGAGATTCCAAAAGTCCCTGCAGAACACGAAGCCTCTACTGAAAAAAATATTTGAATGTTTTTAAAATCTTTCCTTTATCTGATTACTACTTAATTATTACAATATCTACCACTTTGATGAGTAGATTTCCACACTGAAAATACTACCTAATCGCTTCTTGCAATCTGGCAGTTTGACTGGATTTTCATGTGGTTTTTCACTTTGTCAGTGTCCAGCAGAAAATGTCATTACTACAGTGAACTCTAAAGCTCATCTGTGCAACAATATAGCAGCTTTCACATGATGGCAGATGAGCTTGTTACATTGCTCATACCGGTACTTACAGGTAGTTCTATTGCTTCACAGGCTTTAGGCCTTGTCAAAAATACTGTAAACATTCAACACAACTTCAACACATGATCTATGTATTTGTGTACCAGTTTCTGTCTTATAGCATGGGAGTCAATGGCTTACGCAGTTAAGATTCATTTTTGCCTATACCTTATGAGGGTTCCTAATATCATTGTAGCAGAAATCTGTTCTTTTACCTTATAAGAAGCAAACTATTCTTTTAAACTGTAACACATCTCACCTTCCCTTATCCCTAATCAAATCAAAGGGAGTTCTGTCAAGCTTTTTATGGAGTCAGTATAATCCTAAATTAAGAGTAACATCTTATTTTTCAAATTTCATCTTAGGACGTCTCATTCCTATCCAACTAGTAATTTCCTCCAAAGCAGCATTTATAACTCCTGATTTATACGACAAAATCAAGTATCTCCCAACGCCAAATTCTGCCACTGTTCATCTCCTCCATGCTCATCCTTATCAGCAAATTATACTGTATCTTATGGTTATTCATACACAGTATGAAATAATTTTACTGTGATATCACAGTACAAATACAGCTGCAGAAAGCTAACGTTGCAGTACTTAATCAGTTGGGCTATGTCTTGCCCAAGCAAGGTTATCAAAGTTTTCCATACTACGAAGTACAATCCAGCAGAACTTTTATTTCAATTGCACAAAATACGTTAATTACAAAAATGTTAGTTCAAGGATTTACATACTCAACTTTGGAAAAGAGAAATATGCAGAAACTAATTTCTAGGTTAAAATATTAAAAAGCATTTAATATTACAAAACATTAGCAACAGAGTGTGAGCATATTTTAAGTGTTCTTTCAGGTTCTAAAAATATTTGGGATCAAATGGTACCCTCCTCAAAATAAGTTTTCGGTGAAATTGGTGATAATTAAATGAATAATTTTAAAAATAATTTTAAGTACAGGGAGACTAGATAAACCAAACTCTGCTATAAACATGGTAAAAAATACTTTGTTTATTTTGGTATGATTTTTGTTTTATGCCCTACAATGGATGTACCACATGTTCTTTTCAATCAACTAGGCAAAATAACAACATGCAACTTCTATTACTGCTTACCATATTACAATATATCCACATACAGGTAATAAAATTAGACTCATCACTATTTTAATTTTGAAGGCCATTTTTCATTTAATCTTATACATGAAAAAAAAGGGGAAATTTCACCTTCATGCATAATAAAAACCAAACAATGTAATCTTATCAGAAGCAACACATCCAAACATGTTATAACCCATTTAGTTAACGTTACTAGAGAATAAAAAAATTAGTATCTTACCTCAGACCAAAGACATGTGATTGCTCATAACTGAATAAGGAATGAATTTTAGCTTCTGAATTCAAAATTATAAGCCTGTCAATGATATCCTGACAAAGGAAGACAAATGTAAAAAACTCTTGCATGATTTTATATTTTATGCATGTAACAGTTTCACAGGGATGTTTACTATAAAATGAAACCTATTATTAACACACACATTGAAATTATTTCTGTAAGAGGTGCTTTCCACCATAAAAGTCAATGGTAAAAAGAAACCATACAGAAAGTCAGGGAAAAAAAAAAAAATCACTAAACACACAAAAAGATCCTAGCGTATCAAGTATCCTAGTTTTTATTTAGTATTAAATTAAACCACAACAAAAACGTTAAACTTTTTTCTTGTATGTTTGAAATGTGTATATATCTATTTTAATGAAAAGAACAGCAAATCCTTCAGTGTAATACCCTTTCTAACATCGGTTAGTACTACACGATTCAAAACACGGCCATTTATTCTCAGTGTAGCAAGGCTTGGCTTAGATGTTGAGGCTTACATCTTTCATCCTACAGCATCTCATGTAATAGATAATGACCTGTGGCTGCATGCCACCTCTTCCACAAATCCAAACTAATTACCTTCCCCTCTGGTTCACTGCACATCCAAACTGTTTCTGAAGAAATAATTCCATTAAAAGACTAAGAAATGCATAAAAACATTCACTAATGTTATCATCTCAGAGACATTACTGTGCTATGGTCAGAAGAAACAAACTACAAAGTCCTTATTGGCTTTATTTAAGCTGTTTTAAATCCAAACTTTTATTTTCTCCACATTTAAGAAATACAGTTTCAGAGACAGCAGAGGGAGTTGTTATTCATTTCAGTATCATGTGAGAGAAAGGTTAGGATCTGTACTTTCATGAAGTCAACCAAAGCTCTGATTTTCAACAGAAAGAAAAGAAAACACAAGTAAAACTCCCAGAAGTAGGAAAAAAAAAAAAAAAAGTAGGACTTGTCAAAGTAAACTGTCTTCATAAAATGCATTCTTTTTTAAAATACAGTGAAACCGTATTTTCCCTATTAGATTTTTTTTGGGCAGTAGGGCAGACAGCTGTGAAGAACGCACTTTTTCCAGATAGTATGTTCACAATAAAATAAACAATAAAACCATTCGACTTGGACCTGAAGGCTGAGGTAAAATCAGTAATGTAAGTAATAATCAATTGGAATCATAGAATCGTTTAGGTTGGAAAAGACGTTTAAGATCAAGTCCAACTATTAACCCAGCACTGCCAAGCCCACCACTAAACCATGTCCCTAAGCACCACATTTACACCTCTTTTAAATACCTCCAGGAATGGTGACTCAATCACTTTCCTGGACAGCCTGTTCCAGTGCTTGACAACCCTTTTCGTGAAGAATTTTTTCCCAATGTCCAATCTAAACTTCCCCTGGTGTAACTTGAGGCCTTTTCCTCTTGTCCTATCACTTGTTACTTGGGAGAAAAGACTGACAATTGTTTGGAGTTTAAGGCTTTTTAGGTATTTACACGTACAAAAAGTTAAGTGCTGAGGGCTATTTCTCTGGCAACAACCCCCTCCTCTCATCTATACATCAAAGCTTGGAGCTTGTAAAAGAGTAGAAAGAGCAGGCATAGAGAGAGGACTATTGGGAAAGCAGACCAAGCTCTGATTTGGGATATCAGGAAGGAAGACAACGACCACGGTCCAACACAAGGTCCAATCAGAAAAATGTGCTGATAGATCTGCACCGCTCAACTGCAGAGCATAGCTTAAATATTACAGGTAGGATGTCATCTACTTTGAATACCTAAGATACACCATCTAAATACAAGATTCTCTGTAATCACTACCAAAAAAAAAAAAACCACCTGGTTTTTCAAAGCTACACATCTGGAGGGTACCTTCCAAGCCAGATTCCCTTGCATAAGTGTACTGTAGAACCTCTCAAAGAAGAGTGGAGGCAGGCAGAAGGACCCCAATTCATCTGCTCCATTCTCTAAAATCTTTTTATACGACAACCAGAGTGAAAAAAAAAAAAAAATCTGGCATGTATCAAGAAAAATTTTACTAAAAGCACAAAATAAAAACCTGATTAGTCAACAGTTAGACGTAGTAAGACCTCAACTGACAATTTGTTCAATGTTGCAATTAGTTAGCCAAAAATACAAAGGAGGAAAAATTGTTTAAATCCTATGTATTTAAGAAATAAAGGGCATACAAAGATGATTAAGTTCTGTGCATTATCAAATATAGTTCAGCATAAATATTGCAAGTCAGATTGTGTGGCATTGTGACGGGATTCAGAAATACAGAAAAAAAGCTGAAAAAGCAATTAGGTGTTCTAATCAAATCTTCTAGGGCACCAAAATTGCTTTCACTTTGCTTTGTAACCACAGTTACATCTGGTCAAATCTTTTATCTTTAGCTTTCTGCAGCCATTGCCCAAAAATGTAGTTATAACAAATCTATATGCCAACTTAACCCCAGAAGTTTTCCGAGTACTTAGACTTAGTCATTATATGTTAAATTAACATTAGATGAACTATTTTCCTTCTGTTAATTACATAATCTTGGATGTCTAGTTTACTCACTGTTGCACAGTAGTTAAGTGAGAAAAACCCCACCAAAGCCATCTGTAACTTTGAACAATTGTATCAGTATTGCTATTCCTGGAAATCTAGGGAATTCCATCAAAACGCTCAAGGGCCTCAAAGACCAAAACAACATAGGCTTTCAAAAGTCACAAAACTCATTACTACCCCAATCTGAAAGCTCTCAAATACATATCACTTGCAACATAAATCTATCTCACCTTCTGCCAGTGCCTCAGAAAATCTGATGACTGAAAAGAACTATCCACCAGTGGACACACCAACATTGAGTGGACTGGTAGGAAGACTCTGCAGAGGGATACGGACAGGCTGGATTGATGGGCCGAGGCCAATGCTACGAGGTTTAACAAGGTCAATTGCCGGGTCCTGCACTTGGGTCACAACAACCCCGTGCAGCGCTACAGGCTTGGGGATGAGTGGCTGGAGAGCTGCCTAGCGGAAAAGGACCTGGGGGGGTGCTGATTGACAGGTGGCTGAATATGAGCCAGCAGTGTGCCCAGGTGGCCAAGAAGGCCAACAGCATCCTGGCTTGTATCAGAAAAAGTGTGGCCAGCAGGAGTAGAGAAGTGATCATGCCCCTGTACTCGGCACTGGTGAGGCCGCACCTCAAATACTGTGTGCAGTTTCGGGGCCCTGACTACAAGAAAGACACTGAGGTGCTGAGCGTGTCCAGAGAAGGGCAACAAAGCTGGTGAGGGGTCTGGAGAACAGGTCTTATGAGGAGCGGCTGAGGGAAGTGGGGTTGTTTAGTCTGGAGAAGAGGAGGCTGAGGGGAGACCTTATTGCTCTCTACAACTACCTGAAAGGAGGCTGTAGTGAGGTAGGGGTTGGTCTCTTCTCCCAAGTAACAAGTGATAGGACGAGAGGAAATGGCCTCAAGTTGTGCCAGAGGAGGTTTAGATTGGACATTAGGAAAAATTTCTTTACCAATAGAGTGGTCAAACATTGGAACAAGCTGCCCAGGGAAGTGGTGGAGTCACCATCCCTGGAGGTGTTCAAAAAACGTGTAGATGTGGCACTTCAGGACACGGTTTAGTGGGCATGGTGGTATTAGGTCAATGGTTGGACTTGATGATCTCAGAGGTCTATTCAAACCTTATGATTCTATAATTCTATGATTACCTCCTGAAAACATCAAAACAGTACTACTAAAAAGAACTGCAAAAATCCCTTCCAAACATAACACACACTATTACGATATACTCTGTCAAAACAACTGAAACTACCACTAATCCAGAGCTCATGCTAAACAAACACTTTAACACAACAGCAAGTTAAAGTGCTAGCTCATTAGGAAACACTCAGATTTCAACTGTCGCTCAAGGTCACAGATTAAATTTGCTTGTGCTTTGTAGATGAGAAGAAAAAAACTAATTGATTGGATGAACTAATACAAAATAATACTAAATACTGAAACGGTGATACTGTATTTCTTAGGACTGAAATATGTCTTAATCAGTAACTTTCCAATTAGTGATTTTTCCTGTGTGTGAAAATCCACTAATTTCCAATTAGTGATTTTTCCTGTGTGTGAATACTCTGTGCTTTAAGAAAGTTTGAGTTTGGGTTGCATTTTGTTTAGATCCACAGATATTTTACATAAATTTTATCATACTATAAGTATAGGTATTTTCCAGTATGTAATTGCATGCACATACAGAGGGGTTTATGCATGTCACTTCTTTTTCCCATGGAAAAACAGAATTATGATACAGGCCAGGATAGATGATCTTTAAATCAGGCATCAAATTTTATATTATCCTTAGGATTTCAAAATGAAAATTTAGGTTACCATGAAGTGATATGTGCACATACTGCCCTCATGCTGTATGTAATACAAAATGCAGAAAATTTCAAAATCTTTCGGCAAGAAGAAAAAATTATTCTATTACTACAGTAACATTTTCCTCAGGAAAAATCACCTTCACCGAGGTATTTATTTTTCTTTCAAAATAAAAACTCTACTTACAATAATATCTGTAGGTACTTCACGGAGTGAATACATTGGTTTATTTGGTATATCTTGTTTACTCAGGAGCTCAAAAACTGCAGGGTAAGTGAGCAAGTTTATCAGAGACAGAAAAGACTAGAGAATGAAAAAAAGAAATGTTAATCAGTTAAGTATAACTGAGCAAATGCTAACAATTATTCAGCATTTACTTTAAGTTTGTTCTTATCCTTCTTTCTAGGCTGAACTTGGCATAAATAGAGCTGCCCAAAATAAGACTGCAAACCCTGGCAGGTGTCTATACAATCTAAAAGGGCAGCAGTGCCTGTGATGTATATATTATGTATCAAACTGTACAAGCAATTTCAAAAATTATAATATTTTCATCACCACATAATTCTAAAAGCTAGAGACACAGCATACTCTAAAACACATCACTCTCACTGATCTTACTACAGTAATCAGAGACATGAACTGATGGCCAGTATTTTAATGCTTTAACTTTCATCATGATTGCTATGTATTATTTTATATTGACTTTCATGGATCCTTAGCATTGTGACCTGCCATGCAACACAAGAATCCTTTCAATCAGTCATCATTTGACTAGTGTATTACCCTAATTTTGCCCCACATGCCAAGAAGCAGGTACAGTTGCAACAACAATTTACAGAAAGGTATGTATCATCCTATTCGAAATACAGCACTGTTTTTCCCAGGACAATACAGAAGATTAAGTAATTTCTCACCTTCTGACAGCTTTGGTCAATAGGGTCAACTGGAGTAGATCTGGGTTGGGTTATCCTCAAATCATCTTTTCCACACTCCAAAACAGCCCACAATTCAGTTACAAGTGCCTTTATAAAGCCTAAAACAAATGTTTAATGTTTTAATTTATTTTTATTTTAATGCTTTTAATCTAATGATGAGAATGGCAAGAATACTAGAAAAACAATTTTCATATTAAATATCATTTCACACCACAATTCTAACTCAGATTCTCAAAATTCTCTAATCATTGACTAAAACTTCACAAGACAGACTGCCTGAAGGTTACTCTCCCTGCTATTCTCAATCCTTTCGTCAAACTACCTTTCTACAGCAGTCCAGAGCAACAGTTCGCAAAGACTATTATACTGGAGTAGAATGATATTTATATCTCTTCCATGTTAATGAGCTGCCAACTTTCTTTAACAAGTTAACTGCTACAGATCAAGGCTTAGCTAGTATTGGCTCTGTGGTTTTAAAAAACACAGATTTACTATACTCATTAATAAATGAAAACGTACCACAATAAAAAGTTAAGGACTGAAAAAATCTTTTCAAGAGAAGCACTACTAGCTGAATTTAAAATGTTAAATATTAAAACAGAAGAGGAAGGATAGCCATCTAAGTCTGAAATCTCCAAATCTAAGTTAAAGCTTAATACAAACTTTGCATACGTTACACAATCTCCTCTTGGGGTTGAAAAATTAATGCCGATGATTTTTGGTCTACCATTTTCTTTGACGCCAAGGGCCATAAGAAGCAACTTGGCTGAGAACCTTAAAGAGGACAGATGGGTTAATCCTCAAGTAGATCTGCTCCCTGCTTTCTGAAAGATCCCAGAGGCATAAATAATAAGTACCTAACAATCAGTTTCCTTGACTGGCAGAATTTGCCTGCCTTTCTGACAGTCTTTCAGTCAAATCATTTTAATAACACACCAGCCATTTCTACCTACTAAAAGAGAAAATTTGCAACTTTTGTACCTCGTAGACTTCCTTAGCAACTTAAGACAGTAGCTTTATTTTATTGATAATAATCTAGTTTTAACATAACAGCTAACTAGATCGCTGGGTGGTACAGCAACAGTTGAATTATGTGAGAATGAGTCTGAAGGGATGGGCTGACATGAGAAGAACTGTGGATTCAGACAATCTCAATTCCATCTCACTATCGTATAAAAACACCAATGACATACAGGCCGTTGCAGTTTCTCACTCTTTGAGCAGTCAGTAACCATGGAAAAGTACATACAAATTACAGAAACGAACAGTTCTTAATTCTGATCTGTAGATCACCAAGAAGCACTTGCAAATTGTTAGCAACTTATTTTTTAACAGATATAAATGTCTTCACACTCATACAAGAAATTTCGGGAAATCCAAACCAATGAAGTAAAGATTTTGCATAATTTAAGGGGCGGGGGGGAACCAAATCCCTGCATCAAGATAAGTGAATGACTTAAAAGTTAAAAAAATACATTTCCATTGCGAAGAAATCCATAGATATTTAAGCAGTCTTTGCTAATACCGCATAATCATTCCACTCAGTTGATCTTTTTTAACATCTTTCTCCCTGTCTTTTTCTAATATGAAAGACTGCAGCATGTAACTATTCATAATATCATTCCTCAATTTACCTGAACTCTGTAGAGCTACTGCACCTGTTGGTGTTGTTGCCATTTGTGTAACGATCACTCTATTATCAAACTCTTCATATTCATTTGTCTGTTAGTAACAAATATAAAAACAGTGTTAGTTATTCAGAAGGCATGAAACTCCCAAATGATCTATTAAATATTGATCTTTCCTACAATTTTTTACAGAATTTAATCCACTGTATGGTTGGACTTGAACATTTCATAGACACTATCCTCCACAGACTTACAAGTCAAATTCCAAACTAAACATCTATATCAAGTATCATCTCAAAATTTAAATGCAAAATACTATGGTTGAGACATGTAACATCAGTGAAGAATAAAAATCTTAGCATTATAACAGTTTTTGCACAGATTCAGTAGTATGTCTGTAACATTATGTTTTTTCTCCTAAAATGCATATTAACAAATTTTTGGTTACATTTCAAGTATTGTCTACCATATCTAGACTCCAACAACATCTACCAATGTGGTCTAGAATACATTGCACTTAGGAAAAAAAAAAAAAAAAGAAAAATATTTTTCCTGGCATTTCAAACTTCACAGCAAAAAGGTCAGAAAAACTAATTATGTCTGACTTTCTGAAGATGAGTAACATCCAACAAACTTAAATCAGTGTGGCAACAGTACCAGAGATAATAAGCTATATTTTAAATTCAATTTTGCAAAAATTAAGTGACAAAATGTTTTCTGAATTTATTTTCTAATTATTTTCTTTCTTCGTTGTTTTATTATAATCATTAAAACAAAGAAAAAGCATACAGACTCTGTAATGCTTACCTGGAGTTTTTTTGATAAACTGCTGAACATAAAGTTCGCACAGTCATTCATGGCACCTGTGCTATGAAGCAGAAAGAGTCCTTTGGGTGTAGCAGAAAAATTTAGCAAGGCATCTAACAAAGTCTCTTCCCATAACAAACTGCAAGAGTAGCAAAATAACAATTAAAAATTATATATAAAAAAGCACGGGGAAAAAAGGAAAACTACAACTTCTAACTTTGAAAACCAACAATATTTCATTCACTGGACTCTATGTGTACTCTACATGTTAGTTTAACAAAAGCATTTGGGAAAGTTGCAATACGTATTAGACTGTATTTTATACAAACATTCAAACTCATTCTGGCAAAACTAAGGTTAGGCAGGAACACAGAACAGCAAGATGATTTAACCCAAAAGACCTATGCCATCCTTAAATGTACTCATGACTTACTATCTCACTATAGACAAGCCTTAAGGTATTAATGTGGCAGTTACAAATTGGCAAAGCAGGCACAGAATTTCTCACCAATGTAAAAACACTATGAGGAACTAATAAAAACTCACTTTTGAAGAGATAAAGGCTCCTGCTAAAATTACTACAGAATTATGAAAACAAGGTGCTTATATACACAGTAGCAATAAATGGACAGTATCTTCTACACACATGGCAGGAAGAACAGCAATTGCAAGAACAAAGTATGATGTCCTACAAAATATTTGATGCCCTAAAAAGAAGAGTGAAGCAATTATATCACCTTTGACTAGGTACCATCCCTGCAGATATCACAAGACTCTTAAGATTCCGCTTCTCTAAAAGCATTTGCTCACTGGATTCTCATCTCTAGTTCTTATTTCCCATTTTTGACTATCACCAGCAAGCAGCACACAGCTTTTCTCGTAGCAGTCAACCATAACCCCAAAATTTAATCACTTCCTCTGCAGAATCCCTGCCATGTCAGGTTCAGAAGCAAAAGTTTCACCCAGAAAAACATCAGCATGTCTTGTTCCACAGTTAAATGAAAAAATACAGATGCACAGAGGAAATTGTAGTTTATGTCAATGGCAGTGATTAGTAACAGCCTCCTCAGTCAGAGATCTGCATCCCCCGATTTCTTTTTACCACTAGATTTGAAGGCTATAACCAGTTCACAGGCCACCACCACAGACTAGATTTATAACTGTTAAGGTATATTTGCAAATTATACATGAAATCAATGGTAAAGTATAAATAAGAATCTACTTAATTAACTAGGTTCTGCACTACCACCACCAACTCCCTGAATTTTCAGGCACACAAATATTTGTTTCTTTCTCATCCTAATGCATACAAATATCTGTAATGGGGCATTAAGTTTTAGTATAAAAGGAAGGATGCCTGTCACTTCATATGTATTGGCTTTCAGCCAGAATGCTGTCAATCTTGCTACACAATATTTTGGAGCTGTACATACCACTCAGCAGAACAACATTTTAAGTTAACACCATATCAAGGTCATAATACATTCTGACAGTTATTTTGTTTTATGCTTTCTAACTCACATTTTCCTCAAACCAATTTCTGCAGTCAGAGAGAACTGCAGACTAACATAAGTCAATTTTACATAGATTAGACACAAGTCTGTAAGCCAAGAAAGTCCTGAAAGGTCAAGAACAATTTTGTAACTCTACTGAGACCTATGCTAGGATGATTTCACTCCCTCTACCTTCCACTATGCTTTTGGCAAAGAGACACAGGGTTACAAGATGCCTCAATTGTGGATAAAGTAGCACTGTGTGTTCATATTTGTGCATGTCCATAAATTAAGCAACAACTTACATGTTTTTTGACTCTAAACTTATTGATGAAGTCGAGTCTGCACCAGTTACAGGTGTGGGTACTCTTTCTGAAAGCAAACTTGTCTGTGAAATAAAAAATAAACAAAAAACTCCTTACTATTTGTTTACACTGCCTTTAAATGCCGGATCTTGCTTGTTCTCTTGTTATATAGTAAAAAAAAAAAAAAAAAAAACAAACCCAAAACCAAAAAGCACACCACCATGATCAGGTTGTAGTCTAGCCTTTGGCACAGAATACACTATTCCACTACATTTTTTTATTCCAGAAAAGACTATTTTTTATTTCTTCCTTGGGTATAAACCATTTTAAAAGCTAGTACATTTTGAAAATTTTAATCGAAATTCTTAAAATACAAAACTCTTTATTTTTTAACTGGAGACTCCCAAAGTAAAAATTGGCGTTATCAAAAAAGAAAAAGAAAAAGAAAAATCAGAAAGCAACTCTTTACTCCAGTTCTGTCACAGGTAATGGAAATAACAGCCTCTGGAGTCAACAACTCAATTTCAAATTTACTAAGTAATTCTGACAAATTTTATTTATTTATTTATAAATTATATAAATTTATCTATATTGGCATAGATATAATTAGAGCTACAGGCAGATATATACACATATTTTTATATTTGGTAGAGATTCTAATTAAAATTATATTTGAAAATAATTGGTGTGAAACACATTGTATATTTAAGATGAATTATTTAAATTGTTCTATGTTTCCAGGCATAAAAAGCAAATTGCACCATTCAAATGAAAGTGAGCAGTCATTAATATAATCTCTTATAAATGTGACCTAATAAAACCACAAAAGATTTCTCTATTAAACTAGTCAGTTATCCTGGTTCTGTTAAGTTCCCCTTTTATTATCATTTGTACAAATTCTGTCTCAGAATTCCAGCAGAATCTGCCAAGAAAAAAATTGTTCCTCCATCAGTCTTAAAACTCCAGGAGACATGTAAAATAGCAGGAAACAAATTACCAGTCTATCCATTAAAAAAATTGTCAATATTGCTTGGATAGAGGCCACCAAAGCCCACCATTTTTGCTACACTAAAATAGTAGAATACTTTACAAACTGCAGATATTTTAAAATTGAAAAATGACAGAAAATAATTTAAAAAGTAAACAAGATGGCAGAGTTGAAAACGTGACATTCCTATACTAATTTGTCGATTCCTGAAGTCCTGAATATGTAGATTCCACTTCAGTCTCAATCTGACCTCCAAAGTGAGGTGAAGAAATGACATTGTCAGTTACATGTTCCATGATTTTTTTTTAAATTCAACACATTCAGACTACTTATCTTGTATGTGTCAAAACTATTTGTCCAAATGATGTTCTATACCATAATAAAGGATTTTAATGTGCAAAGAAGTCTTTTGTGCATGTGTAAATGCTGTGGTGCTTTAGAGCAGGTAACTGGAAATGCCCATCAAAAGCATGCAAGTCTGCCTGTGATAAACATTAGAGTAAAAGGTTAGTTCAAGTAAGACTGACTAGTTACACAACAGGAAAGCAAAAAAGACAGACAGATTGCGGAGTCATATAAATTACAGAATGATTCAAATGAACTCCTTAACTCAATAAAATCCTAAAGTTCTCAATACAAGGAAGAACATTCAAAACCAACATTCTTTGGTGAGAAATAGTTTACTGTGATATAATTATGATTGTAAGTAATAACATATTTTATTTTCAATCAAAACGTATGCTTTCATAATAATATTCATATGTAAAAGCAGTGAGAAATACTCACAAGCTAGTGATTTAAGTCTCTTTCCTATTCATGTTCTTTCTGGTATTTTCTGCCTCAGTTTACATCGTGACTCTATTTTTAAAATTTCTAATCATAATAAAAGCATACAGCAATTGACAGGAAGAACAGCTGTTCCATTCTCTTTCCCGTGCACTCAACCTCTCTCCCACTTCCTCACCTACAAAAAAAAAATATCCTTAAGTCTTTTAGCCAATTTTTTCTCCCTGCTTGGTCTAATCCTTCTCTAAGGAAATATTTTACATTACAGTCACTGGAGGGAAAAAAAGAGATGGTTCCATTTTTCAGTGTAAAGTGAAACAACACAGTTAAATTTTGGGTTTCCACTAAGAGTTCTAATATCTACAGTTTAAATATGCTTTCATTTTAGCTGGAAGCTAAAGTTGAAGCTTAGAGTGCTACCCTTACCTAAATGCTGCCAATGTTATTTTAATGATTCAAACAGGTTTTTGAATTTTACTCCACTGTGAACTTTTTGAAAACTGCTCTTGCAGCATCTGCTGTCATTTTTCCATATTTACTAAATTTTTATAACAGATAAGAATTTGCACACTACATATGGCTATCAGAACAATGAAAATAGAAAAGTCTACTGAATAAAGTGGAGATACCTTGTTTAGTAAATTTATAACAGAAAGCAGAACACACAGAACTGTTGGACCCAAGCTCTTTCATGCAGAAAAAGTATCAGACTAGCAACCAAACTGAAGTTGAAGTACAGAGTTTACACTTCATAAGATATCCAAGTACACAAGTAAGACAAGAACTCCTGACTGGCACTTCTCATTACTGTCCCTTGAGAATATTTCAATGACATCTAAGTATTTAAGTCAAATATTCAGAATCTCCTTTTTTTCTCCATATATCCCACCGAAACAAACTAGTTTAACCTAAAAATTACTAAGACCACATCTTAGTTGTCTTTCCTTTCAAGGTATCGCAAACAAGAGTGATGACAAAATCTGTGGTGGACACTGGCTAGCATGACATCAAGTACCTCTAGCATTAAGGACAATGAATGATGGGCGTATCAATGCATCTTGAAAGTTCCTAGGTTAATCTTGAGGCATAGAAGTCTCAAACTAAGCTTCTGCTAGGTTCACATACAGAAAAAAATCTGAAAAGTAGAACTTCATTTTTAGAACAATTCCAAGCATTATCTCACTACTTAAATATTTGACCTGAAGCAAAGAACGACTATTACATAAGCTGAATCTCTTACAGTATAATTTTTTCCCAATCTTCCAACTCCAAAACAAGATGTACCTTTTTCCAGGCCTCTCCGATAGATTCATGCAAGCCATAAGGTATAAGTATCTGCAGGCCTTCACAAGTTCTGTACATCTGACGACACACAAAAATGAAAGCTCCTTTAACAACTGGCAAAAGCTCAGTTCCAGATAAGAGAGAAATGTCGTCATGAAGAAGCTTCTTTGTAAACTGAACAATTGCATGAACAGCTGTAGGACTAGAAATAAAATAACACTTTTAGAATGTTGTTTTGTAGTCATTAATAAGACTTGAAACAGATCCTCCAACTAAACACTTAAATTTTTCTAGGAGAAAAGCAACTATGGAAAGAAACTATGACCCACTATGGAGGGGCCATCTATGTTATAACTTGTAACACCAGTCAGAAGACAAGAAACATACAGCAAGTGATTTTATTTTTGTTACAGGTCACCATAAAGCAAGAATGCACCTATTGTCTTCCATCCAGCCCACAGGGCCATGAACTACACAGACTGTGCATTTTATAGGGGTCCAGTTGGGAAGAGTAACAAGACAATCATTTTAGCTTCTGCTTAATCGGTGTTAAGGATATCTCTACAAGGCAAAATTCGTCCTTGTTCTTCCTTTTTCCTATCTGTGATATTCTTCTGAAGTCTACTAGGTTTGCAATGCAAAGGACAACTCTTTCTCCAAAATACTTTTATTTCCAGCCCCCCTTAAAAGTATATGCAAATTCTGAGATTTCTCTACTTAGAAGACATATATTTCAAACATTTACATGACCTGCAGCTTAGATATTTTTAATTTTTATTTTTAGTTTTAATTTTATGTCAGCTTCTGATACAAGATGTCTCTACTAGATGTATTGAAAAGTGAATGCTAAATTAAATCTATTCTTTCAATAAATTAGATTTTTTTTTGTTTGTTTTTAGAATAAATATTAAAAAACAAAGAAAGGCCTTTGGCCTGAACAGTAGCACTATGAACACAATCAAACTACATTCAGAGAAAGGAAAGCTCTCACATGAATAAGAAAAACAACTAAATCATAGAATTCTCCTTTAATAAAAATATGTCTTTAAATTGTGATTTCACCTGGTTATACATAGAAATGTCCCCCTAATACAGTCTCTAAAACACTTACTAATTTGATAATCAGATATTTTACTCCAAACATAAACAAAACATATCATGTTACAGACAAATGAAAAAAAGAGAAAACGAGTCTCATAAGACTAACGTAATTCATTAAAGTACTCAATAATGTCATTCATTAACGGACTCTTACCTGTCATCTTCGGCAGTTTTTTCATTTTCTCCATAAAGAAGAAGAGAAAGACCATCTTCTACAGCAGCAATCCTTGCCAAAATATCAGCTACATCAATTAAAGTGGTTTCAAGACAATTTATATACATCTATTTGGAAGAAAAAAGAAATACAAAAGTTTCAAATTCAATGCTTTTGTGAAAGCTTTTTATTCAAGTCTGGCTTATGTATGCAGAACCTGAAGGTCACCTTTCAGTGACTGCTTAATAACTTAAACAAAATAAGTGAAGAGCCTACATTCAAACACCATCACATAGAAATCTTCATCACAAACAGCAATAATCATCACTTCTAATGACTATGGCAGAAGTACAGTGACTGCACAGATATAGAGAATAGACATTTCTAAACTCATTTTTCTCTTTTCCCACCATGAATGTGGAAAGGATCTTGATATGCCACCTAAGGGGATAAGAACAATACCTGAATCAAGGTGAGAAACATACTAACTCCCTCATAGCCACATACTCATTGGCAACTCTTTGGCTAGAAATGGAATCCCAGTTCCTCCCAAGATCTGCTGCATCCACCTCACATCTAGGCTGCAGTAGGCCCACACAGCCATTTGCTTTGGAACCATGAGGAAAGTCTTCCCCATTGGAGCACAGCAAAAGTCCTCTACCAATTTCTTGCTCACTTCAGAGCACTGTATAGCTCCAACCAGGCTGCAATCAAGCAGACTTTAACGTTTAACACTGGGATTCAGACTGTTCAGAATGGTACCATGACTAATGAATGTACTACGAATTAATGTTAAAACTGGCCATTGCTTATTAATAAGTGAAGTCAATATTCCAGCAGTAGACATAGAGAACATGGGTGCTCCATGAAGAACCTGTCAGGGAGCAGCAAGGGCAGGACATTGCAAGGGACGAGAAGTCACAAGCTGAGCATGATAATGAGGCAGGCAAAGGCAATGGCTCACCATCGGATGGGCTGGCAGTCCCACCATATCCAAGCAAGGTGAGCAGATGAGGTCCAGTGACAGCAACCAGGTTCACCTCCACAGTGATGAGGGAGGTCCAAGGTAAAGCCAGAAAGCCAAATGCATGAGTTGGGGTCAGCTCCAGACACAGTAACCAGGCTCAGACACAGCCCAATGATCACCATGCAACTGGATTTATAGTGACAAGGCAGGTCTGAGGTGAAGCAAACCCAAGAACTCATGTCTGTGGGTCGAGGCTCAGATCAATGGGACAGCAGGCTCCAATGCTGCTACAATATAGAACAGGCAGGGAATGAGGACAAGAATCTTGTCTTAAAAAACCCTCCTGAGTGGAAGAAGGAGTAAGTCCACACTGATGCTTATTAGCAGAGTCATCCCTGGGGGGATCTCTGCTAAGGCTTCCTAGCAGAGCTTTCTCAAATAGCTCTCTTCAGGGAAGAGGCAGTAGGAGGAAGATGTGCCAAGGGCCTGACAGTAGACAGTAGCTGTAATTCTGCTGGACATATGCAGAGCATCCTAAAGGTGCTCACCAAAACTCTGTTCCTGTCCATATGCCTCAATAATACAGTTACGAGATAGCCAGAGATTACCTTCTCAATCAGGGACTGAGAAACGCTCCAAATTCCTACAATTTATGCATAAATGTACTTACAAAGAAACAGGATGGTTTTCAAAGTGAGAAGTTCCCTTTTGTAGCTTTGCCCTATCCACACCCAAGACAGCAGAGTGGAGTCAACAGTGAGATGAACAATGAGCCATGGGGTGATTACTGTTCCCAGTAATACTTGTTAAATAGCTAGTATGTCAGAACAAGGAATACAGCACCACTCTCTAGAAGCTGAAGTCCACTGCTTAAATCTTTTCCACTCTTCTATATTCATCAAGGACAGTTGTACTCACAAGAAACCTTTTTTTTTTAAATGCTATGTAATCCAGCTCCTGCTTCTTCTCTTACAGGTAGCTTTACATTTTATATAGTGCACAGGCGGAAAATAGTCTTCCTACTTTTAAAAGTTAAGGAATTTACTATTAATACCAGTGGTCAAAGTAACCCAAGAGAAAAATACAATTTCAACTTGTTTTTTTTAGTTAAAATCTTCAGTGATAGAGGGTTAAAAATCTCCCTGACCTTTTGTTTAGGTTACTGGTATCACTGTTTCGGATTCTAAGAAAGGAACATACTGTGCTGTCACTGTTTCTTTGAGAGTGTTATTATTTTGCTTTCCCTGCGCAACACCAAAAAACTCCAAAAACATAATACTTTGTTTATTTAAAATACGAATACAATGTTCTGTGCCAGCTGTGCTTCAGCAGCAACTCAGAGGCTACAGAGCCCAAAAGGTCAATACTGCTGTTCACAAACTGATCCTTCTGATAACTCCTGCTCATTAGCCACCCAGTTTCTCCTCCCCTCTATACTACAGATACACTATACTACTTTGCATATAAGGCAAGTAAGTCTTGCACTTACCTGAGTGAATTCAGAGCTCAAGTGTAAAAAAACAGCATTGTGTTTGCTCATTAGGCCCACATTATAGCCAACAAGACCCATATGCAGCTCCAGTGCTACCCAATCCCCAACCCCAGCTGAAGAAAGACACATGCGTGGACACAGCCTTCCTTTTGAGGCAGGCATGATCCAGTATTAGGGTCCAGCATTGGGATTCCTGGGTGTTTAAGTAGTGCCAATGGTTTGGCTGGGAAGAAAACCAGTTTGAATTCTTGTAAAAGAGGAAGAGGGTCACTCTGACTTGGCCTACTTTTTCCTATTGGTTTGCCAGATGCAATACAGAAAATTTGCACCTTCGTTAGAACAAATATGACATATTCCAGATTCACAAGACATAACCAACCTAGTACAGCTACTGTGCATTAAATATTCCTGAACATGACCTGTTTTTTTTAAACAGAACAGTTACTAAGTCACAGGAGGGCTTAAAATTTGTTAAGAGTTCAGCTACCTACAAGAGACAGCTAAGCATGGCAGAAACAACCAAAACAAAAAAAGAAAGGGAGGAACTGTTAAATGGTGAGACAATTTCTTTTTTAACTACTAGTGTAGAATAAAGAATAGACAATTGTATACACTTTTGAATACCACGTGACCACACAGATTGCCTGTGGGATTACAGAGGCCTCCATCACAGCAAATCAAAGTACTGCCTTAGTACTGTTTCTAAATCAGTATTCAAAGCATATGCAGGCTCAGTCATTTTTTGTACTTGAAAAAAATGGCACTAAATTTTTGCAACGTACAGTAAAAACAAGACAACTTAAAGTATTAATCTAGCAAAAGCAGCCATAGTTAGCTTTATAATAAAACGTGTAAGTAATGCTACAGTACTCAGTACCGATACCCACAGAAGAGCTAAATTACTGACATGATCAAGTTTTTGCAGGACTATGCTTTTAAGCTTTACAGAAATACGTACTTTAAAATATTTACTTGGAAACTGATTGTTTACACTTTTGAAATAGCACTGGAATATTTTTGTATAGGCAAAAATATTTTCAGGAATGAATACTAAGTCTTTTCCGAAAAACAAACAAACCACACTGAAAAAAAAAAATTTCATGATTGACAAAATTCAACTTTAAGAACCTAGATGAGGTATTTAAATTAAGGACCCAGACTGCCTTTGCAAGCATGAGTCTCAGGAAGTAAACTCAAAACTTCTCAGCCATTAATTTCTCTCAAAGTCACTTTATGTAAGGGAGCTCAGGCTCCTCCATGGGCATTTCAGACCCACAGCCTCTCTGCCTTGAAACTTACAGCTACCTAGAGCATTTAAATCACCTCAGTCAAAACAAAAACAATAGGACAAGCTGGAACTATAACTAGACTTTCAAGTACCTAGAAGAAGATGTTTCCCAAGGCTTTTACAATTCTTACAGAAAGGTTTAAAAACAAATAAACACCCTCTTCATTTTACCAATTTAAAAATCATAATTTTCCAGGAAGAATTATATATTTTACCTATACTAATTAGTGAGAACACTAACTTCAAGTAGCCAGCTGAATTTAAAAAGGAATAAAAGCAGGTTGCCTTTTAAATAGCAGGTAGAGCAAATAAGCATCCAAGAAATAGCCAAAAGACGCACAAAAACATCATTATAAAAACAAACAAACAAACAAAAGCGACGTGATTTTCCCAAGGGAAGCTACAGCACCATTTTTGCTACTATTCACAAGCTTTCAAGAAAACCAAGTTTGTCAGACCAATCGTTAACGACAGCCTATACTATTTAAGGCATACTATAACAGCTGCTGTAGAAAATACTACAGAAGTCACCATGTGACTAAATAAATCTACATAGAAAATATAGAAAAATGATAATATACTATAGATTTAAAAATCATTCGGAAGATAACTACAAACCTCTGCGCCACTCAGTAAACTGTGAATAGGATGAAGTAGGGCATCTATCACTGCATCTGTATATAAACATTCAGCAGCACATCCTGTTTGATCACAAAAAACTTGCAGAATCTCCATAACAAGACTTGCTGGAGAGTAATTGTCTGGTGAACACAAGAAGTATTTATTTATATTTTAACACAAGAAGTATTTATTTATATTTTAACTTACTCAAACATATCTATATGGCTTATGTAGATGCTTCTGAATTATACTTTTGTTAAGCACTGATTTAAAACAGTTGGGAGGACGAAGGAAAGATAACGGAAGAAGTAAACAGAAAAATCTGCACAAGTAATAGATCCAAACTAAAAATTGCAGAAGTTACCACATGCCTCATTACAAATAAATATATTAGCACATATTAAAAAACAAATATTTACCTGTATGCGCTGCCAAAGCTGTCTTTGGGTAACTTGGAGAGTAATAAATAAGCTGAGTAAATAATACCAACAGATCAGTTATGGATACACTGTCTGTTAAAAAAAAAAAAAAAAAAAAAAAAAAAAAGAGTACTTTGCAAACTGAAGCGCAATTTTAATTTTACAAATAAAATGGATGCATATGTAAACAATGCTTTGCTTTATTGAGGAAATCACACGTACAACTCATAAAGCCAAAGACATGCATGTCCCTGGGACTCTACCAAGGTATTTCATGATCAACTTATGACCCTTGATTTTCCTCCCAACTTAGCCAATTGCAATTTTACCATGTCTTCCAAATGGCAGCCAAAGTTTGAGACTGCTGAATAATCACAGCTGTAGGAAAAAGCACTACCTTGCTATTACATTAAGCGAAACAACTGGAAGAGAGACAAGCTGCCAGACAACTCTTCCTCAGGCCTGAAACAAAAACAACAAACATGCAGCTAAATGCAATTTGGGAACTATGGCTCCAAGTTTAATGTAATTAAGTTAATAAATCAGACAATTTGTGAGGAAAGAGTCGCTACCTATGAAGCTGAGAAGGACATTATTAAGAATACAGATGGTGAGATTGTTACTTTTGTAGGGGAGAGAAAAAAGCAACCATCACCAATGGATCGCTGCTTGAATGATGTTATACAGACAATACATAAATGACAAAAGCACTCCATAAATGACAAAAGCACTCTATTAGTAATGTTTCATCCTCACAACTGGTCTACATTGGATCTATTAAGTCCTGATCCTCAAACCAGAGGGACAAAACACCTTTAAAAGACGAGTCTCAGAATTAGTATCCAGTAATGTTTTGAATTCTACACTGAATTAATGAAGATGTTAATGTAATGGAACACTACAATCATTCTCACACACTTGCATTTGCCAGCCCTGTACAACGTATCACTATATGCAGATTTCTCTGGATGTCCAAGGGCTTTTCCATTTCATATCTTCTATCCTTATTAACACCTCTGTTCCAAAGGTACCAACCTTTTCCTCTATGATTCTTTTACCTTACTTATATTAATAGGTTAAGCTCAGAGCAATTCTTTTCAATTTACAGTTAGCTTGAAATACTGATTTTGTTTCACACCTGAAAAACAGTTTTGGTCCCTGCGCACGTCTCTCTTCCAACCAATTATATCAATTGGTTTGACAAAAGATATTACTTATATCTAGAAAGACTGAATCACTTACACACTGATCCAGCTCTCCTTCAACATGAAATTAATGTATTTAATGTAAGGACAAAAGAGATCTATTCAACCACATCCATCAAAGACTGAAAAACTGTGTTGATGCTCAAAATCACCTATACCATCTTTTAAGAAAGGTTTACAGGCACAGAATTGCTGAACAGAGTATTGTCCTACAACGTCCACAGTATTGCAGTGGAAACATATATCAAGTATGGATAAAGCATTGCTCAGCAGGTTCCATTTTCCTCAGCCCTCTCCTTACCTTTTTTATTTTTCAGCTGTACTGGAAAGAGATTTCGGCCTTGCTTATAGATCAACAATCTTCCTAAAAGGCACAGTGAATGGACAAAATAGACGTACTGCAATTCTGGTCCAGTGTAAGAAAAGTTCTCCTTATCACCTTTAACAATAAAACCAAAAATTAGAATTCGACTCTTTTCATTTACTTTACAGTACCTAGCTACTACCTGCAACATATGTCAATCTTTTTGTACATAAAGACAAAGAGCTTAAGTAACTAACCCTGTTATTAGTGTTCTCTCAAAAGATAGACATACAGTATCTTAGGAAGCAAAAGAATAGATAGAATGTATGCTACTCTTGAAGTAGCATGCTCAAAGACCTAGAGAATGTGGAGGTATGTGCATATAATGCAAAACATACAAACATACTCACTACAATGCTGCTGGGAGAAGTCATTGACTCTGGAATTTTTATTAACTGCTGCCTTGCAAAATTCAAAATAATCAAGACATTGCTGGACAGCTGCATTGAGCTGTGGAAAAAAAAGTACAAAATAATAAAACAGCTGGTATTTTACAATAAAGTCATTCCCTCTTGTATCCAAGTACCATCCTTTAACATAAGAATCTAAATATCTACCTCACTGCAACTACCTCATGTTTCAGTGCTTTGGATGGGTTAACCATCAGGAGGCAAAATTTTACAGGGCTGTTAAAATATATGATAATTATCATTACACTATCACACTAAATAGCTCTATAAGCATTAAAATAACCTATGAAAAAGAGTACAGAGAACACATAAATATTGCGAGAAGTTAATGGCAATGTGTGCCATACTGTCATTACTACAGAAGATTTTCATTTTCCACACATCAAAATCTTTATCTAGAACACACTTATTAAACTGTAAGTTTGGTTGTTGGGTGCTGTCAGTGCTATTACTGTTCTTTGCAAAAGTGTTGTATCATTATCATAGCATTATCATCAATGTATATAAAAGTTTAAAAATTATCAGTATGGATTTAGAAAGGAATCACAAATATAGCAGATGAACAAAGAAGTACATTTACATTAATTACAGTTTGGAGCTGCTAAGATTTATTCAGAAGTGTAAGTAAAATATACAGACATATGTAGTTAAAAATACTTAATCAGATGTTTATTCTATGCTTACAAATTAGATTAGACTGTGCTGATCGTGGACTTCCCATTAAAAACATTTTGTTGCATGGAACATGCTTTATCCTATGCATACAGATAAACAAGACAAACACCTTTTATAGTTGTCCGTATCCTTGTCTCCCATCTAAAGGTTTTATCAGTCAGATACATTTTACATTCTATTTCATTTGTGTCACAAGATTTTACAAAACATAGCCAAAGTCCTGTCCATATGAATGGATCTCACATCTATATTGGTCTTACGAAAACAATGAAACTTCCATCCCAGTGAAGAGATCTGCCCATACAGATAGGATTAACACCTACACTGCTAAAGATGTTTCCTCAGTTTGATTTATCTTGCTGACACTTTGAATCCTTCATGCTTCATATCACAACTTAAAGAACACAATGGTGGTTTTTTAGTCTCTTACCATCAAAAATACAAATTTTGCATAGTTTTTATGATATTTTTAAATTCACCATTTGCTACTGTTACACATCATCAGAAATAATTCTAAATATGAACACAACATAAGGAATTATTAAATAATAATCCTAATTAAACACCCGGTATAAAACATCCAAATTTCCCCTTACTCAGAGCTGGTCACACACCCTTCTTTGTATTTAACACTGATTCATTTAAGTAAAGAGAAATTTAAAAATAATTAAAATCCAAAAGGCTCATCTAGCTAAAGAACATGGAACAGCTCTGACAATAGGGAAAAAAGGAAAAAAGATGTTCTAACCACAATGTGCAAAGTAAGAACAAGTTCCAAGTAAATTTGCCTTGGGAAATACTTACCACAGATTTATACTTCTTTTCCAAAAGCCTAAGTACCACTGTTCTGCTGTAATACGCATGCTAAAATGACAAAGAAGACCTAACGTCAACTTCAAACATCTAAGTTCTATTTTTTAATTAAAAAGTAAAAATTATCTCTGATTCTGTTCTTTTAGGGATCCTGTGCATACTACATATTCAGTGTATTGAACTCCAGCTTCTGTAAACCAGTATTATACTCAAGTGAGCATGTGTGTCTGCAGCACATTTAAGATGACAAAAAAAAACTATGTCATTAGAAAAATGCATAGCAGAACATGCAGTAAAACAGAATAACAGTAACTACGCTGAAATGTTACTGTGTGTTTTGACATTGCCATGTAAATCCTAAATTGTAAATTTATAAACTGCAGGTAGGCTGCAAAAAACTCTGATGTCCACAGGAGGTTAGCAAGTTGAGTGCAGCATACCATATATGTAACTGTATTTTCATGCTCATCCCTTCTTCCAGAAAAATATTTGCATCTTTTGATGGCTGTCAGTCTTATTATGACAAAGGGACTGAAGTGCACACAAAGTGCAGTAGGTTCTCGGAAATTTTATGAAGACTAGTAACTGAAGAGAAACGGAGGGAGAGAGCAGTGTTAAAGGGCAATGCCTAAAAAAAACCACCCCAGACTTCCTTACAGTGCTCATTATAGGTTGTTATCAGGACGCAATAGGTCTGTGATAATAACAGTCATAAATTAAACATGTCAGACGTGAACAAGTTACAGGTTGTTGGGTTGCGTTTTTTTTTGCTTACCGTCCACTTTTTAAACCATACTGCTTTGATATCCAGCAGACCCAAGAAGTAGACTGGACTCAAAAAATCTGGAGAGGCAGGATGATTAGGCTCGTGTTCTACTGACAAGAGTGATAAGGTACTCTCCACTACTTCTTCCATGTACCTGATGACACAAATGGGAAAAAAGTAACAGAAAACAAAAATCACTTAAGTCTTTCCACCAGTAAGTAATATTCAGGAAAAAGTTTATTGCAAAACCTTGTTGTTCAGATAAATCATAAACATCAACAACATTAACTTGATCTTGTAAGGATATTACTACAAATAAAACTAACATACACGTGTATTCTTCTAAATTATTACATATTTTGTAAGTGCTAAATATTACACTTGTTACTTTGTAAAACATCGAAATTATTTTTGGTAAAAAGCAGTTAGAACGTTGCAAAAGCTAAGTAAGCAGCTTAATATGACCCATGACTGCTCCTATGCAACTTCCCTATTCCACTTTTCCCACCCTCTATTTTTATTTCTCCCCTTATCGCTGACCAGTCATCTGGGCATCCTGTAATCAACCCTTTCCTAAAATTTTATGCATCTAATTACATGTCACAAATCATTAAGATATGAAACAGTGACAGTTTTTTTGAAGGTGACATACTTTTCTGGATGACGAATCCAGGAAGACGGAGCTTCCTTTTGGTATTCATTTAAAAGGCGGACCTGAAAATATAATTATTGAAATTAAAAAATAAATAGTTCATGATGTTTGAGGAATGATAAAAAAGGTATGGAAAGTCCATTTATACCTTTTTAAGCAAACGATTTATCTCTGTGTTAGATACATCCAGACCAGACGAAATACGAAGAGAATATTCTCCAGAAAGAAAGTATAACTCCAAGTGCCTTGCTAAAAAACAAAGGAAAAAAAACCACCTCACCTCCATGACAATAGTGAGAAACTAGTTTATATTATACAGCTTCATTACAAAAATTAACTGATTTTCAGGAAGTACATGACTTATGAATTCTTAAATGTAATTAGATACACATACCTAAACTTGTATAGACTTCTCTTGTCATATTAAATGGAGAAGAAGAAAAGGTTTTTGCATAGAACCTAAGAATTTTATCCTAAGGGAAAAAAATCAAGCAATGTATTAGACATTCATGTAACTGTGTATTATTATTGTACAATAATCAATATGCAGTGGTATTATTCTTAAAATTATATACTGCTTAGATTATCTCAACAGATCTTAAGCATATTTTATACAAATATACATTTTGGGACCAGAGAAACCTACAGGCCAATGGAAATTTTATTCAAATACTGACAGCATCAATCAAAGCCTCATTGAGATACAAAGTAGATCAGTGAATATCACCGTACTTTTCCAGGAATGTTAATGTTTTTATGTTATTAAAGGTAACTAGTCTTTGTAATTAGCACTGTTTTAAAAGAAACTGCAGATCTTCTAAGCTGAAAGAGAAACACATGATAGCAGCTGGGACGACTTTCCTATTTATGTGGCAATTGCTTTAAAATTCAAAGAAAAAGAAAAAAAAAAGGCTTCATTGGCATAATAAAATAACCTAAAAGCAGTTTAAGGAGCTGCCATTTTTTTCCTCATCAGCACCTGTGTAATATAACTGCGTATCATTTTCTCATCATCATGGAGCACAGACCTGACTTAAATAGGAAATATCAACATGACATGTTTTACAGAAGAGTTTTGTCAATTTTTTTTTTTACATATCTGTTTAATAAACAGATATTCAAATCTCCTCATTCCCATTAAAAGTTATCAAATGAGTACTCTGGTCTTTAAAAATCCTGTTGAAATCCTGTTGTAATCCTTTAAATCAAGACCTCATGGAATCACATAGTTCCTTCACTTCAAAACGAATTTATGTGATACACACACAAATAATAAGCCTTGGGACCCTGCTGGACTACTCATAATACATATATAACTTCTTACTCCACCTCTTCAGTACTCTTTACCATGGCTACACATCTGATAACTAAAGACAGAACATTAGCTTACACTGAATGCTGCATCAGGATCCGACAGAGACACCGTTAGATGCTTACGCAGATTTGGCCAACTCTCAGAGTTCAGTATATCAGAGGGAGGGGCAAAGCACAGGGTCTGCAATGCTTCTTGGCGAACCTGAAATGGTTCAAAAAGATAAACACCACAAATGCGTTCACAGCAACCTCTCGAATACACAATCGACAATACAATTTGGAGGAAGGAAGGAACAGGACCTGGCTGTAGAACAGACACGGAATTCCAGAACACTTATCTACTGCTTATTTTTATGGCAATTTAGACAAAACACTACTTCACTGAGAGGAAAAAAAAAAAGCATATATTTGAAGAAGAAACAAAATCATTTTATACAGGTTTTCAATGCTGGATGCAAGGATTATGTTCTACTTTCTGCTTGTAATCAAATATTTTGTTACCAGGGAATATAGGAAACTACCACCAAAAAATACAAAAGTGCCTAGCAGCTCTCCAAAATGTCAATGAACATAAGTGGAAACAGAGTTGTTATAGACGCTATGTTTTACTGCTGAATTTTCATCAGCATTATAATCTAAATAATTTCAAATAACTTCTATTTTTGTTGTTCTATTCACAGACAACCATGATCTCTAGTAATTTATTCCATATTACTGAAACAAACTGCAGCAAATTTTAACAATATTTAACAGCATCAGACTTTTTACCTGGTTTTCTAATAAAACTCGATCACAATGTTTGTACCACTTCCCACCTACCATGCCTTTTCAACTACCAGACAATCCCAAACAAATCTTACTGAGACAGCACTCTCAAAATCATGTTTCTCCAAGCTTCAAAACTATCAGTAGCTGGTGCTGATTGGTGGGTAGAGACTCAAATTAGTACAGTCATTGACAGGAAGGCAAACCTATCTTGGGCTTTTTATATTCCATCTGGCAGCAGTTTGTCAGCAAATCAGCAGGCATCTCTCTCTTCTGATAGGGGTAACATGAATGACAACACTGAAGTTACTGAGAAGGGCAAGGGACATGTACACAGGAAAATAAGCTTCAATAACTTTATTTCTCACAGAACAATGAAAAATGCCCATCTATAGCACAAACTCCTAACAAAAACCAAAAACAAAAACAAAATACTTGCTGCAACACAAGCTTTTCAACCAGATAGTTATGAATAATGAAATACTGCACTGCAGAGCAGCTGCTGCACTGAAACCAAGGTATACGAACCAACGAAGACAAGATCCCACTTAGGTACATACGAACTCTTATGCACATACGGTGTTTTCCAATATGCCCCAAACCTTCATCTGTATTAACATTTTATTTCTTCTTTTATACTTACTTCCTTAGGCTGAATAGGGTCAAGCCTTTCTACAAGCAGCTGCAATTGTTCTTGACTCATGAACGTGTAACTCTGTAATACACGTTATAAAATGATCATTAGTGTATTTTATTAAACTGAACAGCAGAAGATTAAAATCATCAGTCTTTCTGATATCTAATTTACTTTTAATAATTAGGACTTAAACATTTATACTAATTTAACATTAAAGTCAACATTCTAAATGTTTTCTGCTGTTTGCCCAAAGTTAAATTTACAGCAACAAAATTATCCTTACAAATTTTGCTTTGCCTAAAGTTTCCTGTATCTTCATAAAATCCCCAATGGTAATTCATTCAGTAAGTAATACAGCATACTGCAGTAGCCTAGAAATGAACTACACACTACCCAGCTCCTAAAGCAAAATCACAAAAAGTTAGATAAGGTACTGCTTTTACCATTATTTTATCTTTTCCTATGCAGTACTTGCATAGGTACTTTAGAGCATTTGGGCATCATATTAATCTTACCTAGCACATGCTGCCTAAAGGTTAGCTAGCTAGTATAAGCTTAGTACTTCAGAGTGAAAGAAAGGTAATTAATTCATTTCAGGATGGATCACAGATAGGAAGGATGAATCTTTTTCGAAGGCTGTTTTCAATCTCCACTGACAGAAACCTAAGAATTTTGCAGTACCATGCTTATTTCATAACAGAGAGAGAAAACACATTGTACTTGGTTGAACGAAGAGTCACTGTCAGAACAGTTGTCTGTGTAATAGCCACTCTGACGTTCTTTCTTTGTTTTACTATCCAGCTCCTTATTATGCATCCGATCTTCTTCAAACTTGTTAATCAAAGATTCTACCACAACCATCATGACATTCTTCAAGGCATGCATCATTTCTCTGTATCTTCAAAGTAAAAATTATTTTAATATTAAAAAGCATGAAAATTACTAATTAAAAAAAAATCACTAAATTGTGAGTAACTGAATACAGCATAATGCTACTTAGACCTGAACTCACTGAACTTAGAGAAATGAATTAAAAGCAAATGCAAAACCAAAATGAGCAACAAAACACATATGTACATTAAATGTTTCAGATAACTCCCTTTTAAAGTTAAAATTCCTTTTTGCCTTTCTAAAACCATTCAATGACAGAGCACTAACATAATCCTGTTCTGAGAGGTTCTTAAGAAAGAACAATGTGAATCCACCAAAAGTGAGAATCTGTCCTTGAGAAAACAGGTCTCATCCTTGTTACTGGTTATGTTTCTTCAACATCCAATTTTTCTTCTGCTATAAGCCTCAAGCAGAACCAATAGAAGAGAACACATCATCCTGATACAAGATCTTGAGTACACATCATGCACACAAAAACGATTTTCTTTCAACAAAACCACGTTTTTTTCTAAGCCACATAAATTGACTAATAATATCCACAAGGAAGCAATTCAAAATAAAAGCTGTTTCAAGAAAAACATCCTATTGTAAAATGTTGATATTTTATTCCAAACTATTTTTTACTTTAAGGCTACTATTACTTACTTTACAGTCACCAGAGATACAAATTACCATATTGTGCTTTAATATCCTCCTAGCTCTCAAACTGAAAATACAAGATACAGACATATTTAGTTCATGGAACTTCTTCTACCAACTTTAATGAGCACAAGAACCCAAAGGTCCTGATCCTCAAAACAGAAAGACACAAACAGCACAATTTGAAAGGCAAGCATGCTAACATCTACTTTCTAGGTGAAAATAAAAGCCAAGTGTAGGTGACTAAGATCTTCTTTCTAACATAAATGACTGTACTATGAAAGTACATTATGAATGCATCATTAAGGAGTGAAATTCCTTAATACATTTTTCTCCATAAATACCTTTAAGCATACTACATATCACAGAAAATGAGTAATTGCAATGAACAAAACTGGAACCTTGAATGATCCTGAAATGATATCAAGACCATCACAGTGAGACCATCACAGTGAGATCAAATAATGCTCAGTCAGAGTTCAGAATGCTTGCAGACAGGTGACAAGAAAAGGACCCTATAAAAGCACGGTTCATAAAACATATTTCTGTGTACTTCTACATAAGAAACTTTCTGAAAACAAACAGAAAACGAAATCTTCTAGAACAGAAACATACACTATTTTTTAATTTCTTTCTTACTGAGGACACATTGTAAACAACAGGCATCTCAGCAAAATCCTAGTTCCACTAAAAGAAATGAAGTTAAGATTATACAATAAAAATGAGTGAAAAAACTAGTTCATCTGAAGTAGAGTATAGAATCATTTTAGTGGTTAAAATATAAAAGACAAAAATTGTCTTTTTTGTTTTCTTCCTCTGTAACACATAAAAGCGACCAGTGATGCTAAAACAAGAGGGGGATGGCTTGGTTGTTTTTCATTTTTCAACATTCACCATTTCAGGTGTTTAATTTCATTGTTTTCACATTATAATAGTTCAACCTCAGTAAAGGCCTCATCATGGCTCTCTACGACAATTAAAAATAAAGAGGTAAGGATCTGACTCACTATGATGACACAAGTATGTTGTTTTAATTAAAGAAACAATACTTTTAGAACTGCTTTAAGCATAATGATGTAGTTAGATTCTGTACAGGAGTTCCAAAACCAATGTAAGGCATAGACTAAACTTTTGAAGTTTTACATATTTTCTGGAAATAACAGCTGTATATACTAAAATCCATTTAGTAAGTACTACTGATCACTTCTTTAAAGAACCACACCAATTATCTGCTCATGCAAATTCAAAACCCGAAGCATGAAAATTCAGTAAGAGAGCAACCAGCCTCTAGTATTCCAAGGAAAAGTTATTTTAATGTCCTTCGAAAGGTGAATAAAGTTAGTAGGAAAAAGAAAAGAATGTAACTGTTACTCACAGAGGTTTTTCTACTTAAGGCTATTTTATTAAATACAGTGTTCAAAAGCCAATTAATCTGGACCACAAATCCTGTAATATGCTGACATGAGGTTTGGCACACGTACTGATTTCTGGCCATCTGACAGTCGGAGTCAGAAAATCTTGGGTAATTATACGGTTGGTCCACATCCCAATTCTACATTATATGGACAGGACTGCAGAAGTATCTTTGTGTGTACACTAAAACACAAGGCAAGATAGCTCAAACTTCAATTTTTAAACTAGGCAATGAAAGCAGACCTGATTGAACATACTACTCTCACAGGACACCTGTCTAGATCCCAAGGAAGCAGACTTTAAAAATATACTCATGTATTCTAATTTTACTTTATTTTATTTTATTTTTTTTAGAAAACAACATTGTCATACAGACTCTCCATTTGTATCTAAGGAAATTACCAAACTGTAATACCTGATAAAACCCATTTTTCCTTTAGGCCAACTTCTGTGTCAGAACTGAATTTAATTTGCAGCTAGTGAAACAGTATGAAGTCGTGATTCTTCTCTCAAATCTTACCCCTGCCCAACTCCAACCCTAAATACCTCAAAAACTTCACAGATTTGCTCCCGATCTTCTTATGCAATAGTTCATAATCTTAATTCCAGAGTGAGACAATTTCAATGTAGAGTGGGAATATCTGAATTGCTTAGCACTGATTTTTGAAAACAAAGAATCACTTCTGTTACCCATTGATTCAGAATTTATTTTTTCAAAACAAGTTCTGGAAAAGAGAAAGGAAAACAAAGACCAAGAAGAAACAAAAATGTGAATTCCATGTATATACTCACTCTTTTGATTCACGGGTCTTCTTAGTAACATGCTGGACAAGTGTGTCATAGCCAGATACTTCACCCTGATTTTGAGCAGAAGTACATTTTTCTGTTTCTTCTTCAATCACAGATCCCACAGTATTATTTATATATTGCCTAAGGTATTTCACAAACTCATAGCTGCAACAAACATAAAAAAATTAAACTGTGACAGACTTCCTTGAGCTCACCGTCAAACGTTTTCAACATTATATTAACATTAGCTACCTCCTCTCCCAGCAGAGTCTTTACTTTAAGGTAAGGGTTTATGACTTGCACAGAAATAAACTTCAACAGTGTAAAAAACACAATAAGGTTTGATGTTCTTCAATATGGTCATTACCAGCGTATTCCAGGAAGAAACAATACCAAATAGTTTCTAATTTCTTTTTGTGCTTCCTCGAAATGTAAAAATCTACTCAGACAAAAGGTTGATGTTTTGTAGACAAAAATCACAGAATATAAAGGAATCTCAAATTTAAAATTCCAAAAGAAACATTATTTGGAGCATCCTGAACATAACACTGTCTTATGGTATATCCAGCTGGTATTATTTATGCAGTACATATACAAAATGAGAAGAAACACAGAAAACACAATTTAGAAATTCTAGTGTATGAACATGTCTAAGGTTTATGAAAGTCTGTGTGTCATGACAGTATGCAGAAGATCTCAGTCAAAGTGACAAACTAGCTGACTGTGATTATATGACATGTTAAATGTAAGGAAATTGGCACTTTACACTCTTAGTATTACATACTCACAGAAGCTTGTTTAAACAAAAAAATAATCAGAGGAGGATTTCAAACAAAAGCCTCTCGCTGGGTCCTCAGATTCTGAAATTGCTAAAAAGTAGTGCTCAGAATATATAAACTTTTTTTTCGGTTAGTCTTCTGATTTGTATAAAGGATAAGGCAAACAAAACCACACAAAAAAGTAATCATACGCAAACAGCAGATGCATCATTATATTTTCATTATATCAAAAGCACAACTACATTGTATTAATTTGGATAAATACAGAGTGAGAAAATTTCAAATAAAAAAGTAAGCTCACCATGTAGGTACAGAGTCCAAAGCTATAAAATGCAAATAGTGCAAATGTAAACAAAAGCAACTGTTACAACAGGCAGCAGCTTTTGACTTTCTTGGATATTAAAAAAAAAAAAAAAAAGACTATATTCAAGATATATAAAAAAAAATAACCACAGAAAATTGTGCCATGTATCATGATTCGTAGTTCCTCACTGGATTGCCTACCTCAAGTTCCATCAGGTATAAGTTTCCCACACACACACTTATTTCCATCCCTACGCTTTTGTTCTCAATGGAAGTAGCAGAAATACATCTCAAAAAAAAGATGCAAACGTTTATTTGCATTTTCATTTGTCTTCAAGGCTGGCTTTCTACTTTTGCAATAACGAAACTGCACACGACTCTCCAGCGAATGAAAGTTTCCATAAAACTTTCCCCCATTTGTTTCACGACAGTTACATTTCCAGGGAATACATTTTGCAGTGACTGCTTTGCTCTGAAATACAGAGCAATCACATCATTATTTATGCCACTAAGTTTTTGTCTGCCTGATGTCCTAGCCTTGATCTTCTGCATTATTCTTCCACCTTCTGTAACAAGTAAGCGTTTCAGCAATGATAGAACTACTTCCTCACATGCAGAATCAAGTCGGAATGTGATCTGGTTGGGCTTACAAAGGAAGCAACAGTGGAGGAGGGGAAAAAAAAAAAATGTTAAAAAAAATCTTAAGACAATTTCAGAAAAACATGGTACTTATATAGTTAAAAATGCTGATTTCTACAACTGCACATAACTTTTGAACTTGATCCAATTTTCATTTTCATTAGCTTTCTGAGCATCCTGTCTTTTCTACATCAAAGTGGGAACAAAGGATAAAGTAAGGCCTCAAAATCTGATAGAATTACTGAGGCAAAACAACCATGAGGCAGAAACAGTGCTCACCAAAATGCTGAGCTGAACTAGCGTATTGGACAATCCAAAAGCACACACTACTAATAAAGGTGCCTGGAGTCTCAATGGATGGGGTAAGGGTCAAGGATAAAGTTTCTTTAACGGCCTCACTAATAAATCGCCATGTGATCTCCCCGAACTTCCATGAAAACCAACCTTATCTGCCATGGGTCATGAACAAGACTAGAATACCTCCAGAAATATTCCAGCACCAGAGAGTAATGTTCACATTCTGCATGTAAAGCATCACCTGATTTTCCATTAAATGTAAGTTAGGACTTTTCTCATTAAAACACAGTATCTTTTGGATCACCAATTTTTGTAATGTACCAGACAGAGTAATGGATGCCATGGTTTCACTGTCCTAAAGGGGAAGGCTACGTATGCATGTTTCCACCAGCTGTAGACTGGTACCCTCATCCTGGGTGTTCTCCTAATAAGCCCTCAGCAGAAATATTGACAGAAGTAATTTCATAGGTTTTTGGTTGTTTGTGTTCTTTTCCTGTATAGATCTTCCTTTAAATTTAAACATTTTTCTTTAGAAATTACATGTAATTTTCAACTTTGATATGTTTATAACCAACTTCTTCACTCTCACGCTTGTCACCCAGTAACCTGGTGCTTAACATTTGCAGACTGCCAACAAAAGTATTTTCTGATACTATTTATAATACAATTTAAAATTGAGCTAAAACACATTTTAAAACATTTAGCATCTTCAGAAGATACAAAAGCATAATTTTTAAAATTCTAGTGAAATTTTAGATAAACCCTAGTTCTATTTATTTTACTTTTACCTAATTTTTACCACTTACAAATCAATGCTAAAAACTAGACAAATTTAAGAGAATGTAGGTAGTGCCACTTCTGAAAAAACTGGCAGGGTATCAGCTTTCTCAGGAGTCAGGTCACAGAACTCTGGTCCTTATTAAAATGTCTTCAAGGTCATTTTAGCTTGATATTCTCTTGATTTGTCATAAATGCATACTAAAAATCTCCCACATGGTAAAAAAATAAACAAGTTAGATTGCCAAGGAAAGGAAAAAGGAGTGTGGGCTTCTGAAATCCAGATCGCATGTAAATGAGGTCACACTGTCAAGTCTGATTCAACAGAAGTGTGGTAGGGATACATTTCTGCTTTATTCAAAACATACATTAAAAGAACCTGGTAAGATATACAACAGTTCAGTAATACAAGCCAGACAGAACAATAAAATATGCAAGCCAAGTAGCCCTCTGAAAATTTGCCTTATTTTGAAAAGCCAAATTATATTGTCTAGCAGGTGTCAAAAATACTGCCTGATAGCCTTCAGTGAGGATTTCTTCTAGCTTCTGTACACGTATGCATTTAGTATATTACATGTATACATGCAGAGTTGGCTAAATTAGGTAGTTCTATAAGTTACTCTCTCATAAACAGCTCATCAAGTACTATTACAGTAAAAATATATTACCAAGAGTGAAAAAAAAAGGGAAAAAAACAAATCGGAAAAAAGGCAAAATTAATTTTATTCTCTAAATTAATATCTTTTGAGAGTTGACTAGTGACACGAATATCTGAACACAAACATATTCACACAGTAATACAAATTGTAAACATTTCCCAGAAATAATATAGTTCAAAACACTTCACCTCCTTCAAAATATTAAAAATAGCAAAAATATTTTTACTTGTGAAAATTCTCATCTGTTTCCTCCAAATGCAAGAGAATCTCTTCTGCACATTCTGCTGATGGGGCTCCAGTGATTTTTTCCTTCACACTCTGCAGCAACTGTCTAAGCATAGCTTGTAACTGAGCTTCATCTTCACTTGTAAAGTGAGACATCTGTATAAAGCAAATATAAGAATAACAAGCTCTCATAGTTTTGGGTTTTTTCCTCCCCTCAAGATGCTAAGAAAAGCATAAACCCTTTAAATTGCCACTTTTTTCCTGTTATCAACAACATGAGATTTTCTACCAAAAGACACGATCACAGAGAGGGAATATTTTATAGAGTTTATCTCCAGACGAACTGGAAACAAAATATATCAAATCAGTTTTAATAAGCCTCCCGTTATCTTAGCACAATATTCTTAAACAAGATACTGCATTACAAAAAGCCTGAATATTCCTGTTTGTAGTTGCTTGAGGACTTGCCCATCAAATAGGCACAAGACTACACCATAATTTTAAAAAGGGGGTTTTACAGATGTAGTGACTGTATCTTGATGAGAAACCTCTACAAGTCTCTCAGCTGCTTCTCATGCACTATTACTATCCAGTTCTGATTTTTGGATCCCTCTGCTCAGGGCTGTTGCCCTGCCCGTGATGGAAGGTGGCCTGACAGTCTTGTCAATTTAACCCTACAGCTACCGGGAAAAACTGAGAGGAGCAGCAGCAGTGAGAAACTGGAAACATTGGTCAAGTCCAGAAGATGGCGTCTTACCAGTTTAATTTTCAAGGTTGCAAAAAAACCTAAAAGCTCCATTTCTATCTTGATTAATTAACCTAAATTCATGGCTCAAATTCCTTTATATGCCAAAGAATACTTTCAACCCCCAGTGGCACTTCTAGCTTGTATATTTCTAGTCTATTCAAAGACTCTCTAAGCACCTGTGAATAAACAACATGCACACTTGGAAGAGACAACATAATAAATCACTTCTTCAGATTTAGACACTATTAACTAACAAAAAAAATCAAAGCCATATAGCAGCAGCTGGAAGAGTTACCCTTTATGAAAGGTAATGGTTCCCTGAGTTAGCAGTTCTCTGTGACAAGTAGCACAGCTGCTGAACAATTTACTTTGATCAAACACAACTCAACATTAACTCAATCACCTTACCAAATATAGCATTAAAATCAAATAAAAAACAACAACAAAAAAACCCACAAATGCCTTGCAACAATCTCAACTCCCTGATTTGCAGTCCTCTTAAGTCTCAAAATATTTAATCAAAGTCAATGCATTTTAGGTCTCTATAAACCACTCTCGTAAGTCTTATATTTTGACATTAACATTGGCTAATATCCTAATATTAGCCTAATATTATAATTAATAACTAAATAATAATCCTAAAATTAGTTTAATATCCACCTCTGCAAAGAACTTCCCTCAGTATTTTGGTATAAGTAGGCATTTCTAAAAGTGCCAGTGTCTGGATACTGGTTGGCAATCAGTGCGAAAGTCCCACTCAAATTTTCGTAAGGACAAATCATGAGAATATTGTATTTCACCTTCAGTTTGCTTTGAAAAGTCTGATTTGACGTATGTAATCACTAACAGAGATACTGAACTTAAAATTAATTTCTAAAGGTTTGTTTTATTTAGGGGTTTTGTAGCACCTTCCCCGCTCCTCCCCCAACAGCCATATCCCCCCATTCAGTTTCTGAGCAAAATTGAAAATCATCACTCTGTCCCTTAAAAACCTTACCCAAGCCCAGCTTGTGCAGTCTTTTCAAGTTCAAACTCCCGTTCCCGGCACTGTCCCACAACTGCAAACCCTGCCCCAAAACCCAGGGGGTGATTCAGAAGCGGCCTAGTGCAGCCACCATTTATCCTTACACAAGCCTTAGCTCGAGCAAGGCTTTGAAGAACAAAAAAGCGGCAATTTTAGCAACAAACCAACGACAGCGGTTAACAGAAACACGAGTAGTGCAAGAATTCCTGTGCCCTCTCGATTTTTATTGCCAGTCATTGAACTGCGCATCAGTTTGTGGCAGCGACCAGATTTCTAGTGACAACTCACGTGTGAAAGCCCCTTCTCTTTTCAAAAGCGGCAGGAGAAGAGGCTAAACCTGACCAGGTCCTTCCCTCACGCTACCACTAAAAGCATAAAGGGGCTTTGGCCCC